ATTCCTTGGGTTTGTTCTCAGTTTTTCTTTTCCAAGTAGTAATCACAACTTTTTAATACCTTTTTTTGTTTTCCATTTTATCTCTTTTAGTTATCAATTTAAATACTACAATTTAAAATCTTCCTTGAAAAACAGTAGTGTAAAAATTTACTGCAAAAGATCCCTTTAATAAAGAATATAAAAAGCTAGGAATCAGTCAGTTAAAGGTTAATAATTCTTATGGCTGAATATACAGTAAATAGCTCATAATGTATTATTTTAGTTTTGTTTTATCCTGTCCAGATTAACTTGCTATGACATTGGCGGCTATATTAATAAGAAAAATAAATATAAAATAAATAAATAAATAAATAAAAATAAATAAATAAATAAAGATTGACTTACTTTTTTGATTAACTGATATGTTTTATATGTTTTGTTATTTTTGTTGACTACAGTTACTTATTATTATATTAATTAACCCTGTGGAATACTTGTATCCGGACAATAGTTTGCTTGCTAAAGCGTGGAATGTTATTGGGGGCAACCCCATTGTTGTACCCATTCCCCTCTTATCCCTTCCATGAACCCTATCCCGAATCCCACTACCTATAATGATCCTTGTTTTCCCTTACCCTGATAAAACTTAATAAAATATTGGGAAAAAAAATAACAATTTCCCTATCAAACAAGATAAATCATCTAGTTTAATATCTTGTCTAAAGCTCTGCACTTTTGTTTTAGTCTCAAGACTCTGAAGAGTGAGACATTCACGCTTTGCAACCAGAAATATCCATGTCTCCCTGCAAATATGTCAAAGATATGGCAAGGTCTCCCTCTCAAGTGAGCCCAAGAGAACAAGCAAACTGCATACCGATTACTAAGATATTGTTCAACTGTTCAACACCATCAATTTTGGACAAGAGCTGGTTCACAACAGTGTCGTGGACGCCAGTGCTGCCGGCCATACTCCCTCTTTGTTTGCAGATAGCATCGATTTCATCAAAGATGATGATATGAACACCACTATTTGCCCCAAGCTGATGAAGAAAAATCAAAGTATGTCATTAAATTATTGTCATCCTTATTCTAATAGCTATCACAATGCAATGTTTTAAGGAATGCAGAGTAAGAGTAAAGCATTTGAGCTTGAAAAGAACAATTCCATTCTAGCTGTAATAAAGGGAAGAAACTTTCAATATTCGTTTGATATAAGGCTTATGGCCACAAATAAAGCATGTACTGTGGACCCATTCCCAGTTCCAGTATTCCAGAACAGTTCAATTAACAATAGACTAATTCATTTTAAGATTATGAAGGGCACTAAAAATCCCTTAGGAAATAGAATATTACAATATATATTCAGAATTATATGTACATACAGATTTTTTTTAGAACTAGACAATCCATGACTATTACAATTATTGGGTCATCCTTTCAAAGATATTTCCTTGCCTAAACAGAGAAACAAAATGAATGGTAGAATAGGCAAAAAAGCAGTGACAGCAGGAGTGACTTCCAACTTCTGTTGGCTTTCCCACTGACTTTGCTTGTGGGAAGCTGGCATGGAGCATCAGAAATTACAATCACATGACTACAACTAACTGAGTGATGCTGCAGCAGCCAGAGCTTTGTAAATACAACTGATGAGAAGATCCTTGAAATTTCAATTACAGTAGCAGTAATGACAGTACTACAAAGGCAGTAATGGGTCCAAGATTATACAGCAGTGGTTCTCAACCTGTGATCTGCAGACTCTTGGGGTCCACAATATGGTCACAAGGATTCCACAAAGGCTGGAAGAAATGTTATGATTTAAATCTTGAGTTAAGTCTTGGGGGTTCATAGTCATGGTCCATGGCCACAAAAGGTACTTAAGGGGGTAGGGTCCATAATGGTTGAGAACTACTGCAATACAGGATTCATTCTTTCCAATAATGACAAGTCATGCAAGTCCTAAGTCACCCTCCAATTACAATAATCACACTTATAGCTGGCATGTGCTTAATTATTTTTCGGGGTTTTATGCTGCTACAATCAATCGATTCCCAGAGTCTTACAAAACTTTAATCCAGTATCAAGGTTAAAAACATCAATATTGGCCAAAACCATTAGTAAAATATTTATAACTTGTCACCCTCAGTAAACATGCAGCATCACTCTTTTGGGAGCAGTAATCTTTCATTCCATCTCTACAATTCTTACATAAGTCAGGGCAGCATGGTCCAATGCACTAAAAACAAGGATAGGGTTGTCTTCATCTCCAGAACAGAGGAGAGGGATCTTCATTGAAAATGCTCACACTTTCCAGATATTGACATTGTCTCAACAGAGACCTGTAGCAAATCTCCCCTCTTGGAGTTCACTGGAGGGGCAGATTGCATGAAACGTATGTCTTAACACATAACTGAAAGTGATAACCAATATCCTGAACAGTGGCTGGAAGCTAAATGCTCCCCAGTACAGCTCCTGTAATAAAAGTCTTACATGCACAAAATCAAGCTCACTGCTACCCATGTGGCTGCATTCTGGATCAGTTGAAGCTACCAGATGGTCTTCAAGGGCAGAACTATGCAGTGTAACTTCCAAATGTGAGGTGACAATTACTTAAGGAATGGTCAACAGGCTTCCTGATTCAGAAATGGTTGCAATGGATGTACAAGGTAGAGTTACACTGAGGTCTTCCTTTCTTTTCAAGCAGAAAAAAAGTCCAAGAAGACCTCCAGATAGTAAACCACTTCTGAATAGGACAGAACAATTCATTCATGGTTAATGATTATTTCTGGAATCTGACAGCTTCCAAATCTATAACCATCCTCTCTTATTTGGATTAAGTCTACGCCATTTTTTCTCTATTTGGATTCTAACAACGTCTAGACTCTCATAGGAAGAGGACTTGATCCCATCTCATGTTTGGTCCAAGCTGCAAGACAAATGGTCTCCTTTGGCAGTTTTATTTACATATTAATAATAAAAATAATAAAACATCTGCCTATCCCAGGTCCTTGGAAAGGACTCAATAGGTGAATAAAAATGCCAAATCTTGTCTAAACATCTGTCTGGGGTTTGGTGAAGCTCTCGAACTTTCAAAATGGTTTTGTAACCTTTTCCAGAATAATGGCCATCAGCGGATTGTTTTGTTTTTTTTGGTGAGATCATGACGTTTTTACTGAATTATGTTTCTTTTAACAGGAGCATTATGTCCTTCTAGAATCTGTAGTGAGAAGTTCACTGTGATAAGAGCATATGGTTTGTAAGATTAATATAAAGGACAGCTGGCCCAAATCAGCTCTGACTGTTAAATGAAGTTTTCACATAATTGGACCTGGCTATTCCTTATTTGAACTGACTAAATGGAAGCAAGGGCAGTTGCTTTTTAATAGTGGACCAGAATGATGGATACCTTTGTTAATGAAAAAAATGAAATAAGAATCATCTTTGTTCATTCAGATTCTAGGAATGTTTTAATAATGTTCAACAGCAAAGATTCATAAAATCTAAAAGTGGGCAAACACAGAGCTATACAATAGTTGAGCTTTTTAATACTTAGAAAAGTGACAAGTAAAGGAGTTATAATAGATGATATTTACCTGCAATAATAGCAAGCAATATGCCTCTAAATAGAATTGTTTGATTGATTGATTGATTAGATGTGTATCCTGACTTTCTTTGAAGAACTTAGTTTCCATAATAGTCACCCTCTGAGGTAAATTAGATTGAGAGCATATGAAGGGCGGAGAATCACACACTGAATTTTCACAACAAATGGTAATCTCTCTCCAATCCTAGCCTAGTTCTTTAACTAATATATCAAAGTGGTTCCAGATATTGAAATGCATTTGCTGGAGGATTCTATTGTACCCCTGCAATGTTTACTGACTTCTCAGATCATCTAGTTCAGTGGTTCTCAACCTTTTTAATGCCGCGACCCCAACCGGTCGTAAGTCGAGGACTAAACCGGTCGTAAGTCAAGGACTAAACCGGTCGTAAGTTGAGGACTAAACCGGTCGTAAGTCGAGGACTACCCAACCGGTCGTAAGTCGAGGACTTTCCCTGCCCGGGAGCGCCATGCATGCATGGTTCCGCCCCCTGTGCCGGCCGAGGCGTAGCTGGCAAGCGGCAGAGACGGAGCAGGCCGACCACCAGCTGGCCCAGCCCAAGGGAGGTAAGGCACCCACCAGAAAAGGGGGAAAAAATGGCGGACAAAAAAAATGGCGGACAAAAAAAATGGTGGACAGCCTTGCTTGGCGACCCCCATGACCCCAAATGGGGTCCCGACCCACAGGTTGAGAACCACTGATCTAGTTAGTCACTGTGGGAACAGAAAACAACAATCCTATCTGCAGACAGAATCAACTCTCCTGTCTCAGTCTTCCTCCACCCCATTCTATAGTTAGGGTAGCCAGACACATGGCTATGCTGAATTTCCAAATGAAAAGATTTCTAAAATTGACTGACAGTCATTGGAATGGATCCAAATTCTTTTCTTTCTAGAATACCCACATTATCAAAACTGCAATCTCATGAGCTACTACATCTCAAACTGCATATCACAGAGGCTATTAAAAATAAAATCTATCTTTGCCATTTCTTTCACTCATCAGGTCAAGTTATATTTAATTGGGAAAAAAAGATCATTTCTGCCCATTTCTATATTGTTCATAAGAGAAGAAAAATATGCCATATAATGATGTAATCTTAAGCCACACATTTCCTAATAATAGATATTATATGACATGAAGCAGTGCCACAAGTTGCTCCTGTGGCAGTTAACACATGCTCTGCTGCATCTACAAGCCCGAATCCTAATCCAAACAGAACAACATGTAATTCTTTTCATGTTTCTATATTACCCTCTTCTGTTCTTCTTCAGCATCTGCAAAGAGCTTGCGAATGTTGGCCTCTGATTCTCCAACATATTTGTTAAGGATTTCGGGCCCGTTCACAATTTTTGGCTCCCTGGCATTCAGCATTTTGCCAATCTGCCTGGCCATAAGGGTCTTACCACAGCCAGGAGGGCCATATAAGAGGATACCTTTCACATGTTTGCAGCCTAAAAGGAAAGAAGAGAAAATACAATTGTGAAACTAACACAGAAAATCTTTTTTCGGAAAGAACATTAATGGGTGCAAAATAGAGCAGCAATGTATTATTACCTGCTATTATACCACAATTTATCAGAAAACTGATAATCATATGTATCTTACCAGCTGACTACTCGTAGGCTTTCCTCCCTAAGTACAATTCAAAATCATGGATATTATCAGTGCTTTTTTTGTTAAAAAAAAAAAAGGTGCCGGAACTCACAGACGTCATACAGCCCGCCTTGCCTACCCTACAAGGTTCCATCCAAAAAAGGTGCCGGAACTCCGTTCTGGGCGTTCTATGACAAAAAAAGCCCTGGGTATTATTATTTAAAATTACAGACAGCTTTGGATCAGAATAGAACTTATTTCCACTACCCTAATAAATCTGCAAACTACCCATTTTTGGAGACTGCTAAAGTTACTTTTATCATCTGAGGGGCAAAGGATGATAACAGAACCCTTGCACTGGCTCAATTATTTGTTCTTGGCAAAAATATGTAAAGCAAATCATAGTGGAGGCTATAAATCTAGTAAGTGAAAGGAGAGGAGTGACTAAGGTCAAAGAGATAGTTACATGACCTTGTTTCTGTAGAAGGAAATCTGAAATTAGTGCTAGAAAGTTTCTTCCTGTAACTGTTGGGAGAGTGGGGGATCAAGCACAGGGTAAATATCCCTTTGATTCCAGTAACTCCTCCAGAATACTTCAGTTCAAACAAATTAATTCCGGTTTTTGTTTCAGTCACATAATTATTTTCTTGTCATAGATTTTTGTATTTCTTGAGATATCTCAGCATGTACTGAAATTAATATTTTATTTTGGGATGATTTTTATTTCTTTTCTAAAAAACTTGATGAATCAAGTTTGTTGTTCTCAAAGCTATAGAGGCTTCCGGAAGGAAATTTCTCCAGAAGGAAATTTCTAAACGTGTTTTAGACTGCAAGAAGACATCTTCCTCTTTTCTGTTATTTTGTAATCTATCTCCTCTATTCTAATTAGGCTAAACAATTCAAGGTTGGAACTGGCTCTACCCCAAAGCTTTTTTGTTGCAGGGGAAAGGCAATAGGTATGCAACCAAATTTTTAAATCTCACATTATATACTTACACAGACACACATCAATTCTAGCAGTCACCTCCAAAAATCACTAGCTATTATGAGATGAAGAAGACTAATCCTGTCCCTTCCTTCACAATTTTGGTGAATACTTTAAAATTTCCATGGCTCATCTGGTTAATTACTAGGCTCAGAATTTGCCAATGTCCTGTATTTTGCCTTTAAAACTATTTTTAACACTTAGTAGCAAAACAATGAGCTAAAATGCAGACATTTTCCAAGTTAATCTTTCCAACTACCACAATCACCCCAGGCTACAGCATAAGGAAAATGGGCTGAATGGCATTAACAAAATATGTCAAAATTCAAGATAACATTTTTGCACATAATTAAGATCTAATTTTGACATTGGATGTCAAGGAATACTCTGACATCCAGTACTCAGTCTAGTAAACTCCCCCCCCCCAATTATTTCTTATGTGTAGCTTTCAACTTAATGTATTGAAAGATCAAAACAACATTCAACATAAATCTCTCTGCATAATGGTACAGATTACTGTAAGTACTGTATACTATCTTACCTCACCATTCTCAAAGTACCGAAGGACCAGAAAGAAAACAGAAATATTATAGAGAGAAGTATATGTGTTTTTATATTATACTTATAAATACAAATAATTTCTGCACAACCAAAAGAAGTATCTAGAAAATGATAGGTACATAAGAAAATACTAACACTTTCTTTCTGAGTAATCTTGTTTATAAAGAATCTCAGTCATCTGAGTCTAGAGCAAATGTAGTAAACAGCAATGTTGATTAAGATGAGTGGGTCACCTTCTGATACTAGGTACTACACTTATAATCTATATGCATGTGAGAGAACAGCTGTGGGCGAGAAGATGAAAAAAAGTGGACAGGGCCACACCACAAACAAAGTATGGCTAAGATTTTCCAGTTTTTCCAATGCTTAGAGAAGGCAGTAGTGTTTTTTTTTTAACTTTATTCTTTTATGTGTCAACCCTATGCTAAGCTTCATGCATTACCAAAATGGGTGTAATGAAATAGTAAATAAAACACAAACAGAAAATATTTGTGTATTAGGGTATGACTAAAGGGAAGCACTGTCAAAAGGCCTAAATTATTTCTGGCAGCCAATATTTGGGATCTTTCTGAAGATGCAGATGTTTTAATGTTTTAATCCTATGTTCTTTTATTCTCATATTTGTGGTATTGTATAAGCTGCCCAAAATCATTTGGCAGAAAAATGGGCAGCATACAAATTCAATAAATAAATAAAATGAATTAATAGAATTATATTATATCAAATTTCTGAAATTTAGCTCAGGTAGGCTTTCAAGTTAGAAAGGTAATAACATTTTAAGAAGGGCTGAGTAATAGCATAACTAATAGGGTTATCAGTGCATGTAACATAGATGTGTGTGCGGATAAGAATATCAACCTTGCTTTCAAGCAAAATCAAGCTTTTAATAGTGAGTGCCACACAAAGTGCACTAATCAAACACGTGGTAAGGAAATAGGGGAACTCAGGCACCAAACAGGTTATGTAGAAAGTAAACACAGGGTCAGTCATAAAAGACTTCAATACCAATACACCAATGCACAGAGTATGAGCAATAAACAGGGTGAATTAGAAATTCAGGTAAATGAGGGCAGATATGATATTGTTGCCATTACAGAAACTTGGTGGGATGAAACCACAAATGGAACATATAGCTAGATGGATTTAAATTATTTAAAAGAAACAGACAAATAAAAGAGGAGGTGGAGTTGCTCTCTATATAAGAAATAACTACATCTCTACAGAAATAGAGCACAACATTGATGAAAACTGTCTTGAATGTATTTGGGTCAATATAGGTATATACTATAGGCCACCCAACCAAACAGAAGAAATAGATGAACTTTTTGCTAGTCAATTAACTAAGGAAGCACATCACAATAGTAATGGGGGACTTTAATTACCCTGACATCAACTGGGAAACAAACTCTGCAACAACTGGAAGATCAAACAGATTCCTGACAAACCTAGCAGACAACTTTGTCTCTAAAAAGTAGAGAAGGAAACTAGGGGATCAGCCATATTGGACTTAATTCTTACTAAGATGAAATGATAGAAGGTGTTGAAGTCACAGGAACCTGGGGGGGGGAGTGATCATGCAATATTGGAATTCAACATTATGCAAGCACAAGCAATAGAACATAGTCAAACTAGAGTCTTGGACTTTAAGAGAGCTAATTTCAATAAACTTAGAGAGAGCTTGGGAAGGATTCCATGGATGAGAGTCCTCAAAAGGAAAACAACTCAAGAAGCTTGGGAAATTTTGAAAAGTGAGATTATAAAAACCCAGTCTAACACAATACCAACAAAGAAGAAAAATAACAGTACTCAAAAGAAACCAGCATGGCTGCATAAAGAACTCTCTGATAAAATGAAAGACAAAAAGAACAAGTATAAAAAATGGAAAGAGGGGCACATAACTAAGGCAGAATATCAGCAAATAGCCCGAGCCTGCAAAGATGAAGTGAGGAAAGCTAAGGCTCAAAATGAACTAAGGCTTGCGACATTTTTGACAAAAGTCAAAAATACCAAAAAAAGCTTCTTTCAACATGTAAAAAAAAAAGTTAAGGAAATGATTGGTCCACTAGTGAGAGAAAGAGGCAAGAAGGTGACAAGCAAGAGGGAGAAAGCAGAATTGCTTAACTTGTTTTTTGCATCCATCTTTACACAAAGGGAAAAAACAGTCCAACCTATCAAAAACAGTACCATAAAAAACAGAATAGAAATACAAGTTAAGATAGGCAAGAAAATGGTAAGTGAGCACCTGTCTACAGTAGATGAGTTCAAATCACCAGGACCAGATGGATTATACCCCAAGGTTCTGAAGGAACTGGCAGATGTGATCTCAGAACCACCGAACTATATCAAAGATCCAGGAGCACTGGGGAACTATCAGAACACTGGAAAAGAACTGATGTAGTTCCCGTCTTCAAAAAAGGGGAAAAAATGGAAACTACAGATCTATCAGCCTGATCTCAATACCTGGGAAAATTCTGGAAAAGATAATCAAGCAATGAATCAGCAAACACCTAGAGGCAAACAAAGTCATTACCAAAAACTAACATCAGATCATGCCAGACAAATCTTATTGCATCCTTTGACCAGGTGACAAAATTAGTGGACCAGAGGAATGCTGTGGATATAATTTACTTGGACTTCAGTAAGGCATTTGATAAGATAGAAAAATGTGGGTTAGACAGCATCAATACCAGATGGATTCGTAGCTGGCTGACCAGCTGTACTCAGCGTGTAGTCCTCAATGAAACTGCATCTACATAGAGGGAAGTGTGTAATGGGGTGCCCCAGGGCTCTGTTCTGGGCCCAGTGCTTTTCAACATCTTCAACAATGATTTGGATGAGGGGATAGATGGGGAACTCATCAAATTTGCAGATGACACCAAGATGGCAGGAATAGCTAACACTCCAGAAAACAGGCTTAAGATGCCGAAGGATCTTGACAGACTTGAACATTGGGCTCTATCTAACAAAATGAAATTTAATGGTGAAAAAGGTAAGGTTCTACATTTAGGCAAGAAAAACCAAATGCACAGGTACAGTATAGATGGTATCTTGCTCTTTAGTAGCAACTGTGAGAGGGATCTCAGAGTTCTAGTGGACAATCACTTAAGTATGAGCCAGCAGTGTGCTGCAGCTGCCAAAAACGCCAACACAATGCTAGGCAGCATTAACAGAGGGATAGAATCAAGATCAAGTGATTAATACCATTTTATAACATCTTGATAAGGCCACACTTGGAATACTGCATCCAGTTTTGGTCACCACGATGTAAAAAAGATGTTGAGACTCTAGAAAGAGTGTAGAGAAGACCATCAA